ATAGATGATTCACTTTTAAGCTCAGAAACATGTAGGAGACATGAGATATGGGGTTAAAATTCCCTTTTATTTAAACTGGTGCCCGGCACCAGGGCAAGCCTTTGGAGGGGGAGGGAGGTGAGACCAGCAAAACTCATTAAGGACTGGCGCCTTCTGGCCCCCTGGCCTTCCCCTGAAAGCCAGGCACTTTGGCTGACACAATCCCTTCCTTTCACAGTCTGGGCCTGTCCCCATTACAGCATTCCCCAAACAGTGTTGGAAACAGCCACAAAGGGCAGCATTGTGTCTGGGAAGTGAATGGTGTGCAGGCGGTTCCAACTGAAAGAGAAAGACAAGCGAGAGCACTTCCCACAGGACAATGAGAGGGCTTGTGGCTCAGGAAGCTTCCCAGTCCATTAGGATCTGCCGAGGACAATGGCCGTGTGTGGCAGAGAGGAGGAGAACGTGGCCTTGCCGGTGGCCCCTGTCCATCACTGGCAGAGCAGAATTGCTGCCGTGGGACAGAGCCTGAAGGGGCTGAGGCACTGAGGGCAGCACCCCACTGGTGAGGGGTCAGCACGGGGGGCTTGTCACAGCTGTGCTGACCCCAGGTGTGCAGAACCTTTTCGGCCTCTGGTTGGGCAGCAGCCCAGCCCAAAGCGTGTCCTTTCACTGAAAGGCAGATGAGGAAACCCATTTAAGGGAAACCCAGTGGTAAATGGCACGGATTGCCTCTGCAGGCTGAACCCCTGGTGTTCCTGTGCTCAGACTTCTATTATTGAGGTTGGGCACCGTGCTGGAAGCAAGAGAACTGGTATTATTTTCCTAGGGTCTGTGATCATCAGCTGCCTGTGACTCAGTGCCCCTTCTTACAAAAAAGGGAATATTTTACTGCTGTCCAACGGAATACTGGAGTACAAGGAAAGCAAGGCACTGTAGAAATGAAATGCAGTTTGGAAGCATTCAAATATTTTCCTCTGTTTATGACAGGTTCATCTAATTTGCTCTATCTGGAAGACACCAGAAAGCTTGGCTATGTTTTTAACAAGGTAGATATGTGGTCCATTTCAAGACACACTGGATTTTTTTTCTTTTTGAAATAAGTTTAACTAGCTTTATTTTGAAGTCATTCACAAATTTCTCAAAATTTTCTACATATATATCCATCATAAAGTTAAGTGTGGTTTCACATCCCATAAATTGGTTTCTCTGATTCACTTTTTGAATCACCAATTTATTTTGTGAAACCACCACTGCCACTGTATTGGACCAAAAGCTTTTGGTTTTTCTCAGTATAGAGCTTTCTGTTGTATCTTTCACCTCATCTTTTTAAGCAGAAGAAATGAAACCTTGGTATAATAGCAGGGGAGAATGCCTCCTGGAATGCTATAAGTCCTGGCCAGAAATATGGAACAGATGCACCCAGAACATGATACAAAGTTTGTCTTTAATTCTTGTTTGCAAGTACTTGAAAATGGAATGGACTTTAATATTATTAGGAAAATCTCCTGGCAAGAGAGAAGGTGATTTGTGAACCCAAATGGCCTTTACCACTTACAGGAGATAAAAAAAATTACACTCTGTTATTAAGATCTTGTCATGCTTACATTGCACTAGGAGGTTATCCACTGAGCATTTGATGGTAAGGAGCTGACGTCCATACTAGCCCTGCTTCACGTCTCCTGCAGGGAGAGCCCAGTTGTGGACTGGAGTGCAGTAGCTGTATCTGCCATTTTTGTTTTCCTTGTAAGAAGTGCAGAGAAGCACATGTGGGACAAGTTTGCCTTCAGACATTACTTCTGGTCAAATGCACAAACATAGCCAGGCCTGACCATAAAACAGTACCTATCTGCATATGCGGACTTTCTTTGATTCTAAGGCTTCTCTGGGGGAAAATAGAAATATTTTTTCTGTGGAGCCATAGGAAGCAAAGCCATCTAGTCTTACCATCAACATGTTTTCTTAACTTTAAATAAGGTTAAAAAAGGGAGTAATTCAAGCGTGGCAGCTCTAATTGGCTACAAGTATAATCCAATAACCTCATTTCACCCATATTGTTAGTTGAGTTAATTGGACCTGCACAGCCACCAGCTAAATATATTGGTGTATGCAAATGGTGAAACTAATTTCCTTCATAAACCTTCCTTCTGCTGAAGTAGGAATTGGGAAGAAGGGATAGGGGAGAAGGAAGGCTGTGCTGACGTTGTTACTTCAAAAGATCAATTCTCTTCCAATTATTTGCTCTCTCTAGATAGACAGGACAGAAAATATCATTAATTCCTTTAAATAGATAGGGGAAGGGAAGTAATTTCATTCCTACTTGAAGAGACTGCAGAACAAAAGTGATTGAGCTTCTGGTTGCCTCAAATCCAGAGCTCCCCCACTCTTTTTTCACAGTCTCTGTGTCAAGGAGCTGATTTTCTTTGCAAGACATGCGGGGAGGGATCCTTCACCAAAATGGATTTCTGGGTGTTGCAAGGACTTCCAGAAACTGGAGGGAAAACGGGAAGCTGGTCTTCACTCCAGCATTTATTTTAGCAGGGTCTTTTGCAATAGAAGAGCTGCAATTTGTACCATGCTGCGTGTCAGACAATTCCATTTCCAATGGTAACCTGAAAGCCCTCCAAGAACATGTCCCCTGGTGCCTGATGTAGAGGAGTGACAGTCAGCCCATTATCCAAGTGTCTGTACCTTGGGTAATCGCTTTTTTTCCATCACAAGAGAGGAGGGTCTTTAGAAGTCAAAGCCTGGACTGAAGCCCAGCTACCCCAGCAAGCAAGAGCTTCATGGCAGCAAGGCTTAGGAGCTCCAAAAGGTGTAGAAAGCTGACATTGTGGAGGTGAGGAGCAGCCTCCACACAGTTAAGTCTTGGCTTAAAAAAGTTGGCTTAAGTCCTCAGCATTTCCCATTATTATTCAGCTGATGCATTGAATTTTCTTTCTGCTGCTTTAAAGCAGTAGGAATTATTCTTATAACAGTTTTTTTTTTACATCATGCCAGATCTCTGTACTGTCTCTGTTATGCCCACTCATTAGGCTTTGTCTCTTGCATATTGGAGTTACTGCAGGACATAGAGCATCTCTGGTATTCTGTGCTCTGTACTTGTGTCATGCCTCCCCCAAAAAGCTGACAGCAACCACCTCTGCTTGGAGTGCGATAGCAGCAGTGGCATGTCCTCATCTCAGTTTCCATCTTTCATAGGCAGTCCCAAATGAAAGGATGTGCACGTCCTCAGGTGTCTTTCAACCGACTTTGGAGCAGGCTCGCAGTGAATTGGGACTAGCACCATGCGGGGAAAGGAAGAGATGCTGCCTGTGATTACTATTTGAACTTGATAAGGGGACAGGAAGGAAAAGGAAAAAGAAGTTCTGAGACAAGGCTGAATTGTTAATGCTTTCCACAGTTGCACTTGAAATTCAACGCCTGCTAATATTCCCAGGGAAATCACGAGCTCTCTCTCACACACATGCACACACAGGTTTAATTTCAGCAGTAAATGAAGTCGTAATGCAAACAGAAAGCTAACAGCAGGGAAGGCTATGCTTGGCCAGGTCTGCTCGTGCTACAAGTAATACATATGCACCAGTGCAAAAAACTGCCCCCAGAGAGCAGTTAAGTCTTTCTACCAGAACCACACACTGAGAAGCCTACTGTAACTTTTAACTACAGCTTGCTACAAAAGAAAGTGTGCCGTGGTCTTCTATAATATCGGAAAGGGGAAGAGATAAGGAAGGGACAAGTGGTACAGAGATCATGTGGAGGACAGATTAAAACCTGCTTGCCTTTAGTTAACAGGGGCATGAGGCAAGGAAGTATTTCCAGTACCTCACCCAAGATTTCCTCATGTTCATACCTGAGTGCTAGTGATGCGGTATTATTGCAGAGTGGTCAGGAAAGGACTGGATGGGGAAAACCATGACCAAAGAGGTCGTGGCATCGCCTCTGCTTCTGAGAGCTGAAGCTTAACTGACTCCTACTAAATGAATGAAAGGATTTCTGGCCTGTTGTTGTCCAACATAGGCTAGGCCAGGTCTTGCACTGGAGAAGTTAACAGTGTTCCTATGTAATTCACAACAAGGTTAAGACTGGTTTTGTCTTGTGACCAGAGAACTGGGCAAGTAAGACACAGGCTGGTTTCCAACTGGGCTTTTCCTCATTCACAGCGTTTGCCTTGAACCCAATGCTTAATAAAAAAATGTCTTACCAGGATGGGAAACATTAAAAAGTCTTCCCAATAACAAATCTTTATACAGCAATACAGCTTTAAAGTGTTCTTTTTCTTCCTTTCAACGTTTGTCACCTCAGTGTTAGAGTAAGCTTTCTTCTTGCAGAGTGTCTTAAGCAAACACTGTAAATATTTGGAGACCCAAATGACTAGATTAGCAGTGATGCCATCATTAATAGCAGTGACAGGAAGGTGTCAGAGTTGCAACTTTTTATGTTTTTTAATTGGTCTTGCAATTGTATTGTCAAAATATTTACCCAAGGGTGTGATTAATAATAATAGGTGACAGCTTCAATTATCCTCAAACATATAAGAAAATATCAGCTCTCAGATACAATCTTTAAAAGCATGTCTTAAGCTGCTTTTACAAGCTCACTATGATGAGAATAAATACAGAGATAAAATTTGCAATTAGAACACTTGCTTATTCTAATCTTTCTTATTTATTTTTTCTTTAAACAGCATGGAGACAAAATGTTTATGTACACATCAATACTTATCTGAGGATCACCAAACATTCTGCATGCTGCTTTCCTAAGTTCTTAATTCAGTCCCCAACATAGACATGACATTGAGAAGAAAAGTCATCTTAGATATGTTAATGATATACAGACCAACAGAATTTTTAAAGAATAAAAATAAAACTGCCAACCCCTTAAATACAATTGAATAAAAACATGAGATATCTTACACATCTGAACCATAGGTTTTCCTTTGCAATCAAATAAGAAGTAAGCTTTGTGTCTCCATATGTTTCATTTCCTTCCATGTTTTTCCTGTGTGGTCTATTTCTCTCTCTCTCTCTCTCTCTCTCTCTCTTTTTTTTTTAATCTTTTTATTTATTTTTTTATCTTTTCTGTTTGTTGTTTGCAGTCAGTTCATGGACCATCTTCTCTTCTCCAAAGGAAGAACAGTTGTTCACAGCCTGAAGGAAGAGGCACATAAGTTTAGTGACTATGAGACTGGGCTTCAAAAAATATTCATTTAGTCTTACCATTTACAAATCATGTACCACCGTACAACATAGGAACTTTGCAAGCACCATTGGCCACAGCAAACTTTTCAGTGCATTCAGTTTTATACTATGAGCAAGAAGCCTTAACCATAAGATAACAAGAGAAAGGAAAGCTGTATCCTGTGTCATATAAGCTCTAGTGAACAAACAATTCCTGATTTTTATCAAGGATTTTCTATGTTATTTTTTATCCAGTCGATGAATTCACATTTTTACCTGTCCTCACTTCAAAGATTTTAAGGCTTTACTAAAATATTATTAAAGCAAGTTTAGTATTGTTTAATATCTAATTTATTTATTTATTTTTTTACAACCCTGATCTTTATCAATTTGTTTAAATAAAGGAACCACAGAAGTTCTGAAGTGATAATAGTGTTCCTGAACACTATTATCTAAACTAACAAACTAACAAACACTCACCAGTTTTTGGGCTCAGCAATGTTAAAGCAGTTGGTTCTGACTCCATTAGTGCTGCCACGACAGGTGTGTTGCTAGCAAGAGGAGGAAGTGTTGTGTTTGATCCATAAATGATTGAAAGGATCCCAGATCCAAGTGCTCCATCTGTGTAATTTTTAATTGGGATGGCTTACAGGAATAGTGACCATGAAAAAGTCATGAGCTTCCTTGAAAAAAGGCAGATGAAATCTTACTTAAAGGACTCTTGGGTCTCATTTCACTTAAGCATATATTTAACATTCAGTGAATGACTAGTCATGTTGACATACAGGAGGGTCTCAAGATACTGAGGGCTGGGCAAGTGTTTAAGTACTTTTGCCATTACTGGCGCTGGGTCATTAAGAATATTTCAACAACAAAGTATGATCTTAATTATTTTGCTGTTTTAGCAGCCAGATAGTGTTTCACTGGTCAAAAAACAAACAAACAACAACAACAACAACAAAAAACAAACAGTAAGAAATGTCAAGAAATAAGATACAATTGTTCTATTGGAATGTTCCCTTTGACATAATGCAAAATTATACCTGCTGGTACACTTTTTCTATATATATATTTTCTCTCTGTTTATATAAGAAGCAGGTACAAAGCTTTTGATGTTTCCAGCAATGGAATTACCTCTTTCAATAAATATATCTGGGGACAGTTTTTTGTTTTCTGACAGAATTTCTTTTTGCTCTTTTTCATTGCAGATAGTCTTTAATTGCAATATAAACAATATCTTCCTCACTTCAATCCATCTGAAAAGAATAAATGAAAGAGAGAGAGGGAAATAAAAAAATCTGAAAAAGAAAGAAAGAATAAGGAAAGAGAGGAATAGATAAAGAAAGATTAGGTGCGTATGTGCGTATGGTGGTAGTGGGGCTGAAAGGATGCTGATCCCTCAAAAACTGCATCTAACATATTCCTGGTGCTTATTCTGCACTTTGATTATGTGAACATCCTGTTCCTCTTTCTAATCCCGCTAAACTGTGCATCTCATTGATTTCCCATGGCAGCAAAGTCAACACATGCTGCATAAAAGACATTCCCTTTTATATATTGTTTTAATTTTGCTGCCAGTCATTTTCATTGACCCCTGTTTGGATTGCAAAGCTGAAAGAGGCAGAACATGCAATCTGCTGGGCTGTAAATTGCTTGTTTATTTACAAACTCTCTCTTTTCTGTCTCTTTTTATTTTGCTCCTGCCTTTTTAAAATAATTATTATTATTTTGCTCACAAGTGAAAGTTAGCAGGACTTTGAGTATGTGGATGACACCAGCCCCTTCTGTTGAAACAGCACAGTCTGCACACTGCTGAGGCACCGTGGCTCACAGAGCTCTTAATGGAGATCTCCTCCACCTGCTCCAATGACATACCTGTTGTTGAGAAGAAGCTACCCAGCTGCAGCAGTGAAGGCAGTGTGCTGAGTCCCAGTCATATAAATCTACTGGGTAAATGTTGTTATCTTGAACACGTTATTTTGGGAGTTAGATATCTGAAAGATGAAAGACAGCATCAAGATGCAAAAGGTGAAAATGAACTTTTGGATATTACAGAAATTAGGGGGAAAGAATAAACATCTTTCTAGCTGAGAAGCATAGATGAGAATCTATCAGGCAGCTGCATTATCAATCTTATTATATTAAGCATAAGTGTAAATACTGAAAAATTCATGAAGCAGAATGAAACAGTAAAGCTTAGTTAAAACCCAGAGCTCCAGTTTGATATATGCAGTGCTGACAGGATAAAGTGAAAGGAAAGAAGGAGAAAGTACAAGGGCAGTTTTACATGTTCTTTTCTTCACAGATTTTTCAAGATGATTTTTGTTCATGAAGTTCAAATAGTGGATTGTGTATCTGTGCCTGTTGCATAGGGCACATCTCAAGGATTGAGGGATTCTCCCTTTGAGGTTCCTCTCTCTCCCCTCTTGGTGCTGGGGAAGGTTTCCTGCTCTCAGACTGTTCAGAAGTGTGGCTATGGCTAGTGTCAGATGAAGACTAGGTTTACCAGAAACAGAGTATGAGAAGAGAGTTTAGACATTAGGAAAGGGAGCCAGACTTTCACACTGGCTGGGAACTGTTTGGGGAATGAGGCCATGAAAGTAGTAATGTGGCAACTCTGGGAATTGAACTGCTGTGCTACAATGGGCACTAATGGGCCTGTGAAGGCACTTCAGACTCGACTCTTTAGCTCTCTGCAAAATTCAGCTCTGTGTGCAAAAATTTCACACTTCATTCTGTAGTGCATGTATCCTAGCTACATGTAATGACTATTGATATTGCAATATAAGGCCTGTTGTAACTGACGATACTTTGGCCTTACTACCAGTGGGCCACTGAGGACTACACCACTGCAGGTCTGAATGTGCAAGTGTGTGGGCACATGTGTGTGCGAGAGGATTCAATTCCTCTCCAGTTTCACTCAGCACATTTGCTATTGTGATTCAATAACAAAGGCATAAACTGCTTTTTGAGGATGTGCAGGCAATGCCAATAAAAAGGAAGAGGATCTGAGCTTTGGCTCTGTAAGTACAAAGAAAGCAGGCAAATGCTCATTGGGTCTTTTAATACAGAGACTTCAAAGAAAGCCTCTACACACACACACACACACACACAAAGACAGGGAGTGGGAGAGAAAGGGAAAAGTAAAAAGAGAGAACCAACAAAAGAAGTTAACTGTGGAAAAAGACGACTCACGGATGAAAATATATGGAAACCACAGCGAATAAGCCAGCTAGGTATTTTACTTACAGAGAAAGAGAACAGATGCAAGTTATAATGGAATTTTTTGCCCCGAAGGAGAGCTGGATATTTTGTTTATAAAGACACATGTGAAGAAAAAAGAGTAAGTACTTATGCATGTGCAAGGACAATTTACCTTGGGTTTGGGGGTTTGTGTTTCTTCAGAGAACCAGACCTTTTCTTTTCGTATCTCACCTTTCTTTCTCTGGTTTGGGTTCCTCTTTGTTATCCTCCCTCAAGGCCCAGATGGACAGTCATGGCAATCTGTCTCTTTTACTTAAAAAGGAGAGAAGGAAACCTCTGAAGAACCTTCCCTTCCCTCAGCCCCATGGGATAGGGCCTAACCTTGGCTCTTGCTTTGTTTAGGCACCCAAACATTGAATGGAAAGAGAGGAGGTAAGTGAATCTAGACCTCAGTGATCTACTGAGTCATCTTGTCCTCGTTCTTTGAATCCTCCATAGATGTGTAGTACTGGGAGCTAGTATCTGCCTGAAGCACTACAATATTTGCTTCTTTCACAACCCCTGCCAAGCACAGTCTTTATTTTCTCTGCTGGCCAAAGAGGATCTTCTACGTTCTGTTCAAAATGCCTTCCCTCTTCCTTAACTACCGAACTAGGAGATGAGGCAGAGAAGCCAGTCCTACACATAGAGGAACACAACAGGACTTTTTTATTCTGAGACAAATAACATTTTTACTTTGTTGTCCAAGAATGTTCTAAAGAAAAAGTTTGGAGTCTGTGTTTAAATTATTCAGTGGTGTGGGTGTTGTGCTATCACTTCTCATTAACTGGAATGGGATTTGTGGTATTTGGGTTCTAATTGCTGGGTTTGAAGCTTAATGTGAGGTACTGATGCTTGAAAAATCATCGTTCTCATCTTTCCTAAACTGAAAATTTTGAGAACATTTTGCCCTTGCATAGTAAAGGGGACTTGTGAGGCAGCCAATCAATCAATCAGTCTCAGAGTACCTGTTGGGTAAGGACATTTCTTTTGATATATACAGAACTAAAGTTTAATCCAAAACCTCAGGCAAACACAGTTCAACCTTCAAGAACAAAAAGAGCAACAACACAACTCTATAAACAAAGCAAAGAACAAAACCAGTTATTAAATTCTAATGGCAGCCAAGTAAATCTTAACATCTATGAAATGTGTATGTGTGTGTATATATACAAAGACACACATGGACACAAACACACAACCATGGACATTTTATTTGAATAAGCTGATATAGTTCCCTTACAGGAAAACACACTTCGAAGACAATGTTTACAACTAGCCAAAGCTGGCTAAGTTCCTGACAAAATTCCATTTAGTTTAAGACTCATTTTGATGTATTTTGGTATTCTGCCTTTGCATGTGGCATTGTATTCCATCATGTTCCATTCAAGAAATAGAGCAATTCAGAGACTTCATCTAACTTTTCCAGCCAGTGGACTTGTGTTCCTTGGCTAAGCTCAAAGTTCATCTACATAGTGAGAAGTAGCTATAATCTGTAGTGACTAAATTAGGAATTAAATTTCATTACCTGAATTTAGCCTAGACTGAAAAGTCAGCAATGCTGGTATCATTTTAAAAACAGCAGTACATGGAGCTCGTGTAAGAGACCTGTACTAGCTCTGAAAATACTATTCACATTTTCTAGGTAAGGCATGAAATATCTTCACATATTATGACATTTTTATTTGTGACTCACCAAGAAATCCACCAGTTCCAAGGATGCAAGTTTGAAATAATTGTCTCCTTAATAAAGTTGACTTTTACAGACCTTTCTTAGCTTTCATCAGGTTGAGGGATAATGCCTTTTTCAGGTTTAAAATTTAATTTAATCTCTTTTGAACTGCTTTCTTGTAGTAAGAAGTAGGACCTTCTCCACTGATTATTTTTAGTTATTGGATTGACCATATGGTTCACATCTAGCCTCAAGTGGCATTGTAGGCAGATGCATCTCAGTTGTTATCAGCCTGTTTTCTGTCCTATATCTGGATTTTTATACCTGATATCAATTGAGCATGGGTTGTTCAATGGGAGAGCTACTGACTTCGCATCAAGGCATTTGTTAGCTTCACCAGAGGAACTTTCATTTTTACTCACATTCTTTGGAAATAGCTTATTGTGGAGAAAGCTCCATGGTGAAAAACAACAACAACAAAAAACTGCTAGTTGATATTTAATAATTGCAACACAGTTTTCTGCCCACATTTTTGCTCTCTGACCTAGCTCTTGCATATGCACAGGAACTCACAGATTCACAAATTTTCAGTGTTTTCAGGCATCCAAAAGAATAAATCAAAAATAAAGTTTCAGACTCCTTGGTATTTATGATATGCAGTAGAAACATGCTGGGCTTGGTTCAGGCACTTTTCAGGCTGCAAAGGTGAGTGAATGAAAGACTCTCTCGTGCAAGCTCCAGCCAGCTACAGGGAGAGAAGGACAGACACATCTTTAAACTGTTTCAGGGAACAAGACTATGTTCCAGGGTGCTATGATGTTTTAATGAGAGACATTCAAAAATCTATATTGTTTCCAAACTGAGATTTATTGAGAAAATCATCATTTTGCTCATCTCATATTTATTTATTTATTTATTTTGATAAAAGGAATAAACGAATCTTCTTTTCTCCTAACCTTTCATTAAAATATTTCCTCACAGTTCTAAAATCCTTGGGAGGATGAATGTTCTGGAAATATTGTCATGCCCTGTCTCCAGGCTCAGGAGTTTTATAGCATGCAGAGAAATATATAGGGTAATTGATTTTTGTCCCAAGTAACAAGATCAGAGTCACTGCCTTCCCAGTGATTTCTGCATCCTGGCCTGGCACCATAAGCAACTTAAACTGAAGTCACCACCAACAAAAAAGACTGCACAATTTTGTTGTTCTTGCTTACTTCTATACAATCTTGAGAAACAAAATTGTTTTATTTTCCCTCTTGTGAGTTATTAAGTGTTTTTATAGTTCCCAACTCCTCTTCTTCTTCCCCCCACAAACTAAATGGAAAAGATGACCGATATGTTGTATGATATTTGGGAAAACAAATTTTGATGCCATTGAAACAGTAACAAAGAAAATCTTCCAGTCCAGCCAAATTTCAAATCATCAGATCAGTTCTGGTTTTACTCAGGCTAGATCACCAATTATGGGGAGATAATGTGAGAGAAATTACATAGCTACTGGGCCTGGTTTTCCATTAGTCTGCAAATTGCAAACATTCTGATTTAGTAGCAGTTTATATTCACTTTGTATGGGTGTAAAATTACAGTCCTGCTGGCCTGAAGGAAGATTAATTCATACTAGCCAAGAATCTGGCCCTTAATGTACTTAGTTCAATGGGATGATCTTTTGGTAATGAGCAAATTGATTCTGATAATAACAGAATCAACCCAAATCACAAAAGAAGCTCTTGAGGCCAAGAGCTTAGTAAGATTCAAAAAGGGATTGGATATTTTGGATGGATAATAAGTTAATCTGGAATCAGCCTGTCTATTAACCTCCACCATGCAAAACCTGCCCTCCTGTAGGTTTTAAGAGTTTGATACAACTCTTATTTTCAGTGAAATGAACTACTGGTTTGAGGTATTGGGGAATACGACTTGAGTGCTTTGCAGTTTTACTACTATGCCAAGGAGACAAGGTGTACTATAGTGTCTTTGTACATGATAAAATTGTCAAGTGCAGCCAGCTGATGTGTGAGAGACCACCAGCTCAGGTTGTGAAGATTCACCTCTGTAATGCTGCATCCCACAGTAGTGCATGAAAGTGACAATATTTTCACTAATGAAAAGGAGAATTGGGTGCTTTGCCAAGAGACACTGGGAAAGGTTCAGCAGCATTGGTCAAGGAAGCACCAAATTACAGAGCATTACCGGTCAAGTCATTCCAGAGGGAGATCAAAATTCACACTTCAGTTTAGGTCAATCTTTACCTACAAGTGATAGAATGAGATTTTAGGGGAAGCAGTTTTCCTCATAACCGTCCACTATAACTATCTTCCTCTAAAGTTTGCAACTAGAAAGGATGGCATACTGGAATTGATGACCTTTCAATTGATTAACTGACATTACAATTATTAAATTGTATATGAAACCGCATCCTAAAAGTTGATCAAAACTGAAATGTTCAGTGGTGACACTAGTCTTGTTGTCTTCAGTGGGAGTAAGGGATATCCAGCATGTTTCTAGGAATTTGTTCCTCAACCATTCCTGTTGCTATTTCAAGAAGAGCTCAGGGGCTCCCACTACTTTCCTGAAGCCATTCTATCTGCCACAGGACTGGGTTTAAGGTCAGTCATGTATAAATGCATTGAGCCTAAACTCTGTAGGAAAAAACAGAAAGGGGTGATTTGTGCATGTAGAATGAAGAAGGTGCAAAGTCTGGCACAACAGAGGTTAACATGCTGTCTGTGAGGTCCCTATGGAGTCTAATTTAGTTATTAAATTTATATACTTGGCTGCGTTCCACTCTGTTACTACCTTCTTTTTTGAGCAGGAATAAATTCCTCAAAAAGCCATTTTGATTTTTGCATCTGACAAATTATTCCTGTGTATCTGCTATTTTTCTCTCCTTCAGTCCATATTTTTCTTACAACAATGCCTATCTTTTTTTCCAAGCATTACCATGTTGACAAGTACCAATGTTTAAATTCAGACAGAAATCGCTACTGAACTGCAGCAGTCCATCCTTTCATTTTAACAATGATCTGGGAGAATGAGATTGCAGTGGGACCTTAATTTCCCTTGTTAGAGCTGTAGCATTTGGGGCTGATGAAGTTCACAGTAAACCCGTCACAAATGAACCTTACCTGATATATTATCTATGGAGGCCATATAATGAGCATCTGGTGGAAACAGCAGTCTGTATGTGAAGCAGCAGCTACTAAACTGCTGAGGTGCAGTGCATTGTATTTGGTGAGTTCATCCAGGAGGAAGAAGAATCAGGCTTTCATTGAACTTGGGTAAACAGGCTGCCTGTGGGCCCAAAGGACTGTGCAAGGCACACTGTGAAATGCAATCCTTCACTTTACCAAGCTGCAAAGCAGCTGTGTGCCCTTTGCTGAACCTTTTGAAAAATAAGGGTCTGGCTGAAACAAGGCCACAAAGAGAATTCACTTTTACAGTCTGCCAGTGAACTACTGGGACAACTGATGCCAGCTGTGACCAGAAAAGATGTTTCCTTCTGATTCCAAAACATTTACTGGCGAGCCTGGATTGATGGACATGTAGTGTTCTGTCACCCAGTGCCACATTGGTCATGATAAAGGAT